TTAATTGGTTATGAGGCTGGCATTTCAGAGACGGAAGCATCCGGAGAATTAAAGATATGGAGTCTGGAGCGGATTGCATACGGATGAGAACGCAATACTGGTATACCGGCGGCGGGTGTCAACCCATTGACAATGAAATATTTCTCGACATATTCATAGTGCCATACGTCCAAAATGTATTGTGTAGATCCTTGTGGGCTATGGTACGTGAGCGTTGTTGGGTTGATGCATCCAGTAATGACCTACCTATACACGAACCAACATGTTCGAGTTCAGCAACTCTTTTGTTATGATAGACTCTCGGCGTTGGAAAGCCAAGCCAGAATATGATTCTTTTTTATCAATACTAGTGCCTGATTGGGTAGCTTTACTAGACATGGGGTCGTTATGTTGAAGGCCTCCCCCCCTACGTTCCCCGGGTACTCAGACCCACCCACACCTGCTTACCTAACCGCGAATATTTCTCAAGCTTCAAACCTCACCTCAGTCCAGCAGCAACCACGACGGCCACGCCAAAGCAACGCATCGCGGCCTCGGTCCTCAAAACCTCCAACAATGCACCCCCAGGCCCTGCGATCGGCCGGCGGCCGCATAAGGCCAGACGTCGTTGCCGTCAAATCATACATCCGCACCTTTTCCACCACACAACTGCGCCTCGCCGAGTCCGACTCCTCGAATAACTCCGACGGCAATGGTGCCCCGACGAGAGCACCACTCTCCGGCCGCGAACGATCCCGCAACGCCGCGAGCGAAATCAGCCAGATTCTGAGCAGCGGATCGACCAGAGGGGTGTCCAAGCCCGACAACACAACTGCGGCTCAGCCCGCGCGCGTCATCGACGTCAAGACACTGCCGAAGCGCGGCCTCGGCGGTGGCCTCGGCAGCGGCCTGGGCGGCGGCCCGGGCAGCAGCTCAGGCGGTTCCAACTTCGTCAAGCTTCCCACCAGCTTCCGCGGCCGTGGCGGCGGTCTTGGTGCCAGGGGTGGTGGCCGTGGCGGATTCGGCGAAGGCAGAGGCGGTGGATTCCAGCGCGGCCGCGGCGGCTTCGGTCGTGGTGGAGGACGGGGCGGCATGATGAGAGGCCGCGGCGGCCGTGGAGGCCGTGGCGGTCGTGGAGGCCGTGGCGGTCGCGGCAGACGTAATGCGGACGGCGAGGAGGATCGGAGGGAGCCGAAGTCGACCGAAGCAGAGGAATGGCACCGCCCGACGACGGAGGAGGAGCACCTGTACTACCGCAAGCGCGACATCGGGCTGCCGGAGCGCTTCGAGCCCCGCTTGACTGCGGAGAGCCTGCTCGCCTTCACACCGGCGCTGGCAACGGGCGCGCCGTTGGACCAGGCGGTGCAGGTGTTGGACGCGCTGAGGGAAGTCGGCGGCGGGGCGAAGCCTGCGCCGGGCGTGTGGGCGCTGCCGAAGCACGTGGCGACGGAGCTTGCGTTCCGCGGCGACGGGGCGCACTTCTTTGACGATGTGGAGGACAAGAGGGCGTTCGTGGAGGCGATCAAGAACACTCCGCAGGAGATGATGACGACGAACATGAGGGTCGTCAAGAGGTCCCCCGAGCAGCTAGAGGCCGGTGCGGAGAAGGCCGTGAGGGAGTACATCATGGACAAGGTCGTCAAGGGTCAGCATGTGAGGCCCGAGTTTGTGGAGCTGGGGGCGAAGCAGCCGCTCGAGGTCGCGCGGGCGAAGCACCTGCAGAACTCGAGCTACCACGCGATCGAGAGCGGCAAGTTTGACGAGAAGCTTGCGCAGCTTGTCAACCGGGCCAAGGGCGCCGCTAAGCCTGCTGCTGCTGCGGGTGCTAAGGCATGAGTGTGGTGGCATCGAAAGCATTTGTATGATTAAGGACCCCTCAAAACAAAAAGGAGAAACACAAACGTTGCTGTACATTCAGATACAAAGTCTCTTCTACCTCAACTCTGTGAGGCTCGTGATGTATCCGCTCCCTGATGACGGGACACAAAAAAAAGGGAAACGTGAACTCTTTTCTACAGTTTTGTATACACACAGGTCATCACATCTACGTGAGCTTTCTGACAGTCTGCTCCTCCACCGCATCGACGCCCTTCATCTCCTTGTCCTGAATCTTCTTCAACTCCGTGTCCGCGCGCCGCTTCAGGTCCGGCACGATGAGCTTGTCCTTGTTCCACTTGGTGTGCAGCTTCTTGCGCTTCTCCGTGACGGCGCGCATCTTCTCGCGCCACGCCTGCGCGGCGTCCTTCGCCTTGCGCACGACGGCGTCCTTGTTCTGCGGCTCGACCTTGAGGATGAGCTCGAGCTCGTTGTCCGGGTCGCGCTGCGGCTGCTGGTTGAAGTCGGGCGACGCCTGCACGGCGGACATGACGGGCTTGAGGTAGTCCTTCTCGTGCAACAGGAGAGAAACGGTGCGGCCGCCGGGGCGGGGCACGATCTCGGCGAGCTCGCGGAGGGGGTAGGACTGCGCGGGGTCCTTCTTGTCGGGGTGCACGGCGAGGGCGCCGATGGCGTCCGGGGAGAAGCGGTCGCCTGTTTGCATCTTCTTGAGGATGTCCATGTGGTGCGTGGCGAGGGAGGCGAAGCGGGAGGCGACGTCGCCGAAGTCGAGGGGGTCGGCGGGGTCTGGCTTCGGGTGCTTGGAGCCAGAGGGGTCGTCTGGGTCGGATTCGTGGTCGGGCGCGGCGTGGGATGTGCGGGAGACGACGGCGGGGGAGTCGGCGGTCGGGTAGGAGGGTGGAGATTTCTTCTTCTTCTCGAGGGGAGGGCTGGAGGTGAAGGTGCGGCGGAGGAGGAGGGTTTGGGATGCGATTAGGCGGGGAGCCTGGGTTTGGCTGGGTGTTTGTCTTGGTCAATTGAGTGGTTTGCTTGGAGATGGGGAGGGTATTTACCTTCGCGAAGCTTGGGCGAGGCCATTGGCGCCGCGGAGAAGCGTGCTGGTGGCTCTGAAGGGGCGCATCTTGGGTGGTGGTGGTGTGGTGTTTTTGGGTGCAGCTGTTTTGAAGCTTGGAGCTTCACAGTTTGAAGCTGGTGTGACGTCGGATTTTGGCTGGGACCCGCCAAGCTTCGGTCTAGTCACCTACCGGCGCTTTTCAGTTAGTCAGCACTTTTTTGTCCATGGGCAGATCATGAACAGGTGGAAGAGTAGAAGTCGTAAATACAATTAAGTCAAGGGCACGTTTGTTTGTTTATCAAGTGAATGCTTCGATTGGTTGTGGCATGGTCACGCTGGGGATGGAGAGAGATCTTGGGTTCTTGAGAAACACTATGTTTTGATCTATCTACTAGCTATAACCTTCACGTATCCTGGCGTCGCATCCATAAAGTTGGGCTGTTTCTCAAGAGGACTGGTCGTCGGAGAAACTGCAGCAGCCCAGTGTTTTATAGTCTGGGGTATCAAGAGGTTAGTCGTAATCCTCCACATGCTGGTATAACATGCTTCGCAGGAACCGTTCCTCTACACGCCTGGCAAGGCATGCTTCGTAGGAACAATCCTCCACACGCCCATTAAGGACGCGCTTCGCAGGATGCTTTCCTCCACGCATCCAAGGAAAATGCGCTTCGCAGGAAATTGAAGGTTTGGAAGGGGGGGCGTACCTTATGATCAGGTCTCCTCGCAAGTGCGGGGCTTGCTGTCAAGAGGATGACCTGTTAGTCGGCATTCTCCACGTGTGTTCTACCGTAACACGCTTCGCAGAATGTTTTTGGAAGTTTTGGTTCACGTACCGTGACATCAGAGCCATTGACAAGCGCTGGGCGGTCTGTCGGAAGGGGGGAACGGTCAGTCGAGACATTCTCCACGTGCATACACACGCTTCGCAGAATGCTTCCGCCGCGGGAGGACATACCTTGAAGGATCTAACCGATGGTTTGATCGGCGAGGATGTCCGAGTCGCCAGCATCGAGGATGACCATGGTGCCGCAGCGGAAGAGACGGCCGCAGGCGGTTCCCATCTCGATGTTGGTGCCGTTGAAGTGGTGGACGGGCACCTTGGCCAGCATCGCGTAGTCTGTGTCCAGTCAGTAAATTGAAAGACTACCATCACAGGGACAGGATTTTGCTTACACTCAAGCTCCGACTTGCGAAGGGGAGGGGCGTTGGCGGCGATGAGGACCAGCTTGGCCTTGCCGGTGCGGAGGGCTTTCTTGGTACTGGCGTGGCCGAGAGAAATTTTGCCCGACTTCACTACGAGAGCGAGACGCTGGGCGAGGGTGTCGCTAGCCTTATTCTTGACGCGAGCCATTTTTTTGAGAGTTATTGGAGAAAAATATGGAAGTTTGATGGTGAAAATAGAGGCTGTTTGTTGCGAGTGTGGTTTGCGGAATGAAGACATGTGAGTGGGAGGAAGAGATTTTGAGTACCTTTCTTAATTACCCCACTAGCGTCACGTGTGGGCTGTTGGTACTTCTCAGGTGCAGTTTGCGAAGGGTAGAAAGGTTAGAAATGATATGCAACGTCTCCTTTTCTTCTTCCCGTTCCTGTTTTCTAAAGACACTTTGATTTTAAAAATTCTGGGGGAATCTGGAGTTATCGTATCTAGGGGAAAGGGAGACAACGCTACAGGGAAATTTACATTTTGTCCTCGCTGCATTAAGGAGGCCTGCGTACCTGCAGACCAAACACGCTGTATGCCTCATTCCAATGAATAATCAGAGAACATAGGGGCTTGGAACTAATCGCTTTAAGAAACAGCGCCAGTTCGCGTGGATATATGAATACTCTTGAGTTAACACGAAGGTGTGGTACTACAGGTAGTAAGTTTCGTTGTCAACTCTTTCCTCCACCAAAATTGAAGCTCAACGGGCGACGCTCGATGGTCCCCTCAAGCTCCTCATTCCCCACGTCATTCGAACCAATGTTCATTTGATGTCGCAGTTAATATCTAAGCAGATCACGGCTTGGAACTCCAAACGACCGAGAAAGCGTTAATACGCTGGTGCATGTGAGTTTGTTGCTGGCCTGAGACAACAGTAGCATCCGTGCTTCTTAGGTGCCAAAAACTCCGACTTCAACAACGAACACCGGTCGATTGGCCCAGCGGTTTAAGGCATCTGCTTTACACGCAGAGGATCGCAGGTTCGATCCCTGCATCGATCAATTTAATTTTTGCCATTTTACTCGACATGCACTCGGTCCTAGCACACCGCAGCAAGCATACGCTGGGACGCAGACAACGGAATGCTTTAATTAGATGACTGCCTTTATGTTGATGCGTCTGGTGGTTTTTATGTGGATGCTGCCATCTGACTTTTCAGGAAAACAACCACGATCTGAAATGCCATGATAAAAAAGATGAGACCCGAAGTGGATGTTCGGACTGAGTGAACAAACATGAGCAAAGAAATAGCTATGTCATTGACCATCATGACAATAACACCAGCGCGCAAAGGCCTTAGGAGTATATCCCAGTATGTTGTTATAACATATGGATATTATTAGGATGATTTCCTTCTTAATTGTCTCAATTTCTTGAAAGCCAACTTTTTTTTGCACTAGATTTTCTAGTGAGTGTGCAGTACCGACTTGTCGGCAAGCCGCCATTGCAACTCTGGCGTCACACTCTGTATCCACCGTAGCTTTTGAGCCTCGGGAACCTCTGCAGTCCTCCTGCACCCTTACTACCCGGTAACAAAACACAGGTCACATTTTCGACGTCTCCTAGCTTTCTTCAGGTTGCAAAAGGAATTCCAAACACAACGGCTCAACGTTCCTGTATCTGCATTAACCTCTCTACGCGAAGCTATTTTTGGCGCGGGGCGCAACCCGTTTAAGCGCATCTCTCCAACTTTCCGACCAGTCGCGCTTTCCTTGCCCCCAGCACGCGACGTCAGCGGGAATAGCTCTCTTCTTCCCAATAAAAACACCACCCAAACGACTCCATGCCCTCAGAAATGGAGATCGAGGTCGACGATGACCTCTTGCGGACGGTCGCGTCAGGCGGCCACATGGACTAGTAAGCCAATCGCCAGTCTCTCCCACCAGATCGACGCGCCATCGCTAACCACGTCGCAAAGCGGTCTATGGCCTGCCATGTCGCAAGACATCATCACGAGGCTAGATAAGGTATGTCCCGATCGCCGACCGACCTCAACTCACTCCCGCCTCCCCTTCCTCAAACCGCCCATCCGAAAACTCCTCTTGGCCTCCCGCAGGGCGCGCTCACACGTTCGCTTTGCGAATGTTCTTCTAGATAGCTCACAATGACTTTCCTATCCCGAATCTGCCACCCCTCTCTCAACACATTAACCCACCAGGCCAACAACAACCGCCACCCCTCGAGCCCGCCGCCGAAGCCTCGTCGTCACAGGAAGCAGACAAGGAGAACAGCCAACCGACCGCCCCGGCCCCGGCCGCCGAAAGCGATGCGACCGACGCCGCCGCTGCCACAACGGACCCGGGTTCCCTACCGGCCCAGATCGAGGCCATGCTCATCGAGATCAAGTCCGTCCTCGCCAGCTTCCCAAAGTACCCCCCGCATACGATCCAGCGCCTCGCGGAGCTCGTCATGGAGCCGCGCCGCCACTACCGCCATCTGGCCTCCTACCTCCACGCCGTCGACCGAGTTGTTCATGTCACCAGCGGCGCAAACATCTACCCCCTCCCGCCCGCCATCCCCGACGTCTCGGCTATGACGCTCCTCTCCAACGGCGCTCTGGGCAGCAATAATAACAACGCAAACGGCTCCTCCCCCCCGGACCCCGCCGCCGCCGTCTCCTGGGGCAACTCGACAAACTCAGTCGCCTCGACCGTCGGCACCGACGAAGCCCTCGGCGGCGCCCTACTAACCCCCATCCCCTGGCTCACGCGCCGGCCCTCCCCGGGTTCCGCCTCGCCAGCCTCCTCCAGCGGCGGCGGCTCCAACAACGGGCCCGCTGAGATCCGCACCGAGTCCACGGAGACCATCGACGGCCCCAACGGCGTCGGCAGCATTGAGACCGTCAGCGTCAGCGTCAACGGCATCCCGTCCATGGGCGCCACGGGCCACATCAGCACGGCAGGCGGCCCAGCAGCAGGCCCAGCAGGCATAACGCAAGGTGAGTTACTGCGACAGGAGCAGGAGCAGGGCGTCGTTCCAGTCAACCAACTCGCGCGACAAACAGAAGAAGCACATCTGCAGGCCGCCGCCCTCCGCGCCGCCGCCGCCGCGGGCGGCTCCTCCTCCCCTGGCAGCGGTGGTGAAAGCGGCGGCGGCAACAGCCCCGAGAAGCAGCAACCTGGCGGTGGTGCTGCGGCTGAAGACGAGAGCGAGGTCCCGCACGCCCGCGGGCCCGAGGAGATTGGCGCCGAGGACCTCGGCCCGCAGAGCGTCACGACGAGCTTCGTCGGCGGCCCGGGCATGGAGATGCAGGGCATCGACGTCGAGGCCGCCGTGGGCCGCAAGGCCGCGTCCAACACGCCCCCGGCGGCTGACGAGGACTCGCAGACGGAGGACGCCTCGTCGGTGACGATGGAGGCGAAATCCACCACTGCCGGCGACGACGCCGCCTCGGAGACGAGCACCGTCACGTCACATTCCAAACGGGATGCGGACGCGGAGCTCGAGGGTCTCGCGAGCAAGAAGATCAAGGAGGGCGATGGGGACGTCGTCACCGCGGGCGAGGATGCTCCCCCGGTGAAGAAGGAAGAAGACGACGAGGAGAAGAAGGATGGCGAGGTGAAGGAGGAAGCCGACGCCGAGGTGAAGCCCAAGGAGGAAGACGAGGACGAGGAGATGAAGACTGATGTCAAGGAGGAAGAGGAATCAGAGGCCAAGGCGCCCAAGGTTGAGGACGAGGAGAAGAAGGAGAGAACTGCTCCGCCGCCCGGGATTGAGTAGCGTTTGAATGCTCGCTCGTGTACAAGAAGGGGGCCATGATACCATGAACCGTTTTCACCCCGAACCTCTTTTAGTGTCAGTGATAATATTCCGACGTGGTGGTATTCTCACGAGAATAGGACGAACGGGACTAAAATCGCACAATTGAGGACGATATCACATGTGATAAAGGTATCTTCTTCAATTGGGCTCATTTCACGCTTATCATACGTCTAACCCTAAGCAAACGTAGTCGTATTGACTACAGTGACCATAAGAAATGACCAGAACGCCATGCTTTTTGTAAACCGTCCTACCCCAATCCGCTGTAAACACCAGAATACGCACATACGCCTTACAATACTCTCGTAATGCTCTCCTTTGTAATAACACTGTTCTGCTTGTCGTCTCTCCTGACGCGGAAGAAACTGTCGCAGAAGTCGCTGCAGCGCATGTGTCGCAAAAACTCCTCGTCGTGGGTGATGACAATGAGCTGGAAGTTGCTCTGTGCTTGGCGGGCCTTAATGATGGCATGAAGACTCTCGGCGAGACTCTTGATGTTGTCCTTGTCGAGGTTGGTCGTCGGCTCGTCGAGGGCAATGAGGCCGCAGTTGACACCAAAACTCTCTGCGAGAGCTAGGCGAATGATGATACTGGCCAACACCTTCTGTCCAGCGGAGCAGCGGCCACGCATGTCCATCTCCGTGTCCTGCTTGACCATGCAAACCCGATAGTTGTACGAGCGACGGCCAGTAGATGCGTTCTCGTTGTCCGAACGAATCAGGATGGTGTCAATGTCGGTACCTTGGTAGGTACTCTGCCACAGCTCGCCGGCGATACGGTTCACCTCCTCCATCTTGAGACTGTGATACTGCATGATTGCTTTGTCCAGGGCAGCACTATAACGACCCAGATCTTCAATAGCAGCCTTGGTGGTCTCGACTTTGATGTGCGACTCGCGGAACTTCTTCGCCGCGTCCTTGTATTCCTGGTTCCATTCTTCCAGCACTCGCTCCAGCTCTTTGTCCTTAGTCGTCATTTGCCCCATGACAGAGCCGCGTTCGGCAACGAGTCGGCTGTGACGATTCTCCAACTGCTTGGCTTCAGCAGCCAATGTCCTGTAATCCTCGTCGGCATCACGGGCCTCGAGGTCCTGAATGTCACGTCGAAGAACCTCAAGCTGCTGAAGATTCTGGCGGTACTTGATGTTGTTGCTAATGTTCTGCTTCTTCCGGTCGCCATTGTCAATGTCTTGCTTGAGCTTATTAGTCCGCACCGTCAAGTCCGAAATCTCCTTGTCCAATCCAGCGATGGATTTCTCGAGAGCGGCAATGGCGCGCTCGTTGGACGCAAGGTTGGACGGGCCGCCTCGGTCGATGTAGTCCTGAATGTCGCACTCGACCATCTTTAGTTCCGTAACGGAGTTGGCAACCTTGTCGCGCTCCTCCACAATGCCCTGCTCCTTGGTACGACCTTTCTGCAGAGTATCGTTTCGCACTGATCTCGCCTCGGTAATTTCAGGCTCGATCTTCTCCAAATCCTCGTCTGCCTTGCTGATCAGTTCTCTCTGGTGAGTTTGGTCATCCTTCAAGGTCTGAATCTGGTTCTGGAAGTCCTTCTTGCGCTCAAGCTGGTTGAGGGCCTTGCTCAGCTTGTTCCTCAGCTCACTCTTCTCCAGCTCCAGAGCGTTGAGCTGATCCTTCATGCGTTGACGCTCAGTCGAAGTCTTTAAAATCTTGTTCTTCAACGACCTGATCTGCTCGTTGCACGTTGCCTGGAGTTCGTGGATCTCGTCAGCACTTCGGCTAGCAACGCTCGACGATTGCTGAGACATGATTCTGTCAACCTGAGACTCCGAGTCTTTGATGTCCTTGAGAGCTTGGGTGATGTTAATGACAGTCTTGTTCAGGGACTCAACGTCGTTCAACTTCTCTTCCTCGGCGCTGACGATGGCATCGTGCTCCTCTAGTTGCCTTTCCAGAGCCTCGCATTCAGCTTCCAGCGAGGAGCACTCCTCCTTAACGCCAGGAATCTCGGCCATCAGTCGCTGATATGTTTCGTACTGCGGCTTGACTTTGCGCAGCGAGTTGAGAAGGTTTGTGGAGTTGGCGAGATCCTCCTCTGCCTTCTCCTTCTTATTAGGGTCGAGGAACTTGACAAGCTTGTCGGAGAACCTTGACTTGGCAACATTCTGCTTATCATCGAACCCACGATCGCAGAGTCGACATTTGTTCTTATCCTGCAAGGTCTTTTGGCAACCACGGTAGTAGTCGGCCAAAGCATCCAAAAGGCTGATGTCGGT